GTTTTTTGTCATGACACAATCCCAGTATCCACTATGTTGGTAATAGATTTTCCAGTAGTGACCATAGAATGGTACTCTGCTCTCTGCCTTTCTCACCACTAAATACAGGAAACAAACAAGACTCAGGAAGCACAATATGTCGTAGTTACAAATATACAGACTGGGGATTAGTCCAAGAACTTATTCGACTCTGTCAATGGGATGACTATTTTACCACTGACTCCCTGGAGGCCTTAGTAACCCTGTTTTACAGGAATGTTACCCTTTGTCTAGATACAGTTGCTCCAAAGAAAATAGTGAAATTAAGTAGACACCGAACTGAATATATTCCAAGGGCACACCGTAATAAGTTAAGGAAGCTGAAGAAACAGTACTATTCCACTAAGGACATATCACTATTGCTCTCAATCCACGAGTCTCTTGAATCTATCAAGCGCCTACGCTCTCAAAAGGACCTCGACGAAGAGTTAACGGCACTTGAAAGTACCTCCAAAGTTTATAACTTAACGGCACTTCTTAAAAAACGAATGCAGTCGGCGAGGGAAATCCCATACTTACTTCACGACAAAGTAATCTACAATGAACCTGCCACTATCTGTGAACTTTCAGTGATTGGTTTGCAAACTTTAGTTTAGAAACACATATGCCTGGTGAAACCGCTCCCCTTACTATCTCTTCCCTTGAAAGCATTGTGTTCACTAATCAGTTAATAGTACAAGCAATTAAAAGCCTTAAACCTTCCACTAGTACGGGACCGGATGGCCTCGCTTCGATAATTTTCAAAAACAGTGGGTGTGATATACCCTGTTACTTCTTAAATTCTTCTCAATATCTATGGACACTGGCACTTACCCTAGTGAGTGGAAAACTAGCTTCATAATTCCACATTACAAATCTGGTGATAGGGCAAACGTCCGCAATTACAGACCCATAAATATAACCCCAGTTATCTCACGAATCATGGAGAAAGTTGTAAAGATCAATTGTCAGACTACCTAATTAGGGAAGATCTTGTTACAAGGTCTCAACACGGATTTCTCAAAAATAGATCCTGCGTTACTTGCCACTTCGACTTTTTCAACTGCATCACTAGTAGTCGCGAAGCACGTAAGCTAGTCGTTGTTCTCTACTTCGATATATCTAGGGCATTTGACATGGTATCTCACAGTATTCTCTTTGAGAAGCTGTACTCTTGTGGAATTCGCAACCCATTACTGAACTGGTTAAAATCATTTCTAAGCAACAGGGTACAAATAACCAAAGTTGGATCTGTATTGTCTCATCCTAGGCAGATCTCAAGTGGGGTCGTGCAAGGTAGTGTCCTAGGTCCACTTTTATTCACAGTCTACATTAACAGCATTTGCAAGTGCTTCACCTCAGGTAAACCATTCCTATATGCTGACGACCTCAAAGTCGTCTACTCCTGCTACACTCATGAATTAAGCGATATGGTTACTAAAATACATCTTGAACTAAGTAGCCTCGCAACGTGGTGTGCTGAATCCTGTCTAAATTTTAACATTGACAAATGCGGCTGGATTTGTATCGGCAACAGTAACCTTGATCTAACTCTTGAAATAAATGGGCGAAAACTAGCTAAGCTCAACTCAGTCGTAGATCTCGGTATTAGATACTCTAGTAACCTAACGTTCGCTGAACAGACTGATTATGCCAGACGTAAAACGCGAAGGCTGATAGGATGCATAACACGCAATTTCTTTTGTTGTGAAACTAGGGTTTTATTATACAAAGTATGTGTCCGACCTATCTTAGAATACTGCCCGTTTATTCTTAGCGGACTCAGACAAAATGACAAGCTTAAATTAGAGGGAGTGCAACGGCAGTTTACCTCAAGAACTCTTGGTTTAGAAAGTGGTCTGGAATACCATGAGCGATGCGAAGACTAAGATTAGAACCCCTCTGGAAAAGACGCCTTAAGCTAAACCTTATCTTTTACTATAAGCTAACTAATCTTCTCTTGCATTCCTCCGAGCCAATAACTAAACCTACCGCTGTCATCAGTTACAATCTTAGAAATCATCACAACCTAGCTGCTATAGAGCACTGTCAGACTTACGTGCGGTACAACTTCTTCTTAAATAAGTTTTCAGTCATTTGGAATAGACTACCAGCTAATGTGCGCGATGCAAACACACTTCCAGTGTTCATCTCCTCAGTCACCAGACTGCTCAAAGATGACAATGCACTTTACGTCTGACTCTTACACCCTCTTTTTCACCCTACATAGATATTTTAAGTTCTTTAAACGTGTAGTTACAACAAACTACAATTATAAATTTTAATATTATTGGAACTAGATGATTAACATTTCTACACAGGACAGTAATATTAGTTCACACATAATATAAAAGTTAGCATAACGGGACTAGTTAGTTTGTGTACCAAAATAACCACAGTTACTAAACAGAATATATATGTATATATTTATTAATCACTCCTTAAGGACTCCCGTTGCTTTCTTTTGCGTTGCTGTTGTTTGTCTTTTTTTTTCTCTCACCATTTCAGCTTCCATTTGACTTTTTGAATGAGAATGAATAATGTGGATATTTGACCATTTACAATGACAAATGATCTGCAAACATTATTGGTCCCGTATCTTTCAGTTGCCTGGTTAATAACGAATTAACTTTCTCCACGACGCAACCTGGATTACATTTGTGGAATATACTCTTATACCAATGGAAAAGTATCAATTTGTAATACAACGTCACGATTGTAGCTTATAACATAACTGATCGTATCTGTAAAAATAGCTTCCTTATTACCCAATTTGGATATAAATCAAAAATAAGATTCGGATTTGTACACACCCAAGTTATATTGAGGAATTACTTCAAGCTTTATTTTTTCCCAAGTACTTTTTAATTATGAACTTTATTTTATCATTGTTAACCATGATAGTTGTAAAGCGGTTGTAAAGAAACTTCGAAATAATATCATCTCACGAAATTTGTCTTCTTAATGCCTTGTTCATATTTTTAATCCATCCAAAACATACTTGGGTTTTTTTGTTAATGCGAAGTCAATATTCCTATATTTCATGATGTGCTCCATTGAATGACTGGTTATCATATTGTTTCCACAAACCAAAGACAAAAACGTCAGCAACCATATAATTTAACCATAAACCAAATTTATGAAATTTAAATAATGCTTATCCATGCCTGTACATTTGGTGTGTCCTACACAGGTAGGAAAAATATGTATTTTATTAAAACATTATTATTAAGTATGATTGCTAATCGTATATGTAATTTATCATATTGATGATGCCTGTAAACTGGCGTCCCTCATGTACAAAATGAGAATATACTATTATTATTATTATAAACAATACTTAGAGAGGCACTGTAAGGGTGACAGGAGATAAGAAGACTCAACTATTTTCCAGGAGAAGAAAGTGCTGCTCAAATAAGAATTTAATGCCTAAGTAATTGCAGTTTGCGTTATCACACAAATAAAAATAAAAATCATGAAAAATACCCATTTATTCATTAGTAAAAACACAGTTTTTTTGTTCAGCAAAGAAATTTCTTTTCAACGACTTCATTTTCAAGCTGTACAGTCGTATTTATAATACAGAAAAAGGTTATTAAGTAGCACTAGATAATCGCTCAGTCAATACACATATATATGTGATAAGAATAACAATAATTAATATGTTACCAGGCTTAGAGTTGAAGTGGATAAATTACAGAATTATTAAAGATTGTTTTATAAGTCGATTGATGTCAAAAATGTTTTAAAAATGTCAAGTGTTGTCTAAAAGTTAAAAAAAATTACGAGTACGATTACGATAAGAATGAAGATGTGAAGTGGAAAGAATTCAAGTGGTAAAATAAAAATAAAATAAAAAGTAGAAAGAACATTACTATGACCAAGGTAAAGAAAGAGGTTTGACAAAACATTTTTGAACACACATAATTTAGGTTTCTGTTAATGTACAGCTAAAGCTTCAGCTATGCATAAGTGAAGAAAACGTAAACTTTTGGAGCGATTCGATTTTGCCATGTAGATAACTTTGAAAGATAAATCACGTGGGGCTAAATGACCAGACTCTAACAGGTGATCACAAATAGATGATTTCGCAGTTCTTCATTCGCCTTTCATTAACCAAACCGGATAGTGTTCAGCGACATGTTTTCGTTTAATTCACAAAACTGTCTTTAATATTACTGACGATACATGTGTCACATCCGTGTACCATTAAAAAGACAAAGAGGACTGACGCAATATTCAAAATACGCTGTGAGAAGGTAACGCAACAATTCAAAATTCAGTAAAGCTTATGCTCATGTACAGTGTTGTCGATAAAAGACGACGATTGATTAAGCAGTCGAAATACCTCAACAATTCACAACCCTAGTGATATCTTCAACACTCAAAAAACCTCGTCACATAACTGAGTAGTAACTCTCAGTTTTATGTAAATATGGCTGAAATACAGGTGACGTTCATTTGAATTTTGTCTATGTCTAAAATTAAAGAGCAATAGATATCAAATAAGTGTCCCTCAGACAAGGACGGAAGCATACCGAATATTATTGACTTGAAAACTAAAATCTGAACAGTATTGAGGTGACATATGATTGGTTGATTATCATGTGCGATATTTTCACCCTCTTAACGCACATTTACGAATTTCCAAATGATTAAATCAATGTCGGTGTTAGACTGCACTGACGTCCTTCAAGTAACTGAGATGGAAACATATATTCCATTGATCGAACTAAGTTTCACTACACACTGCAGTGAACACACATCACTTCAATATATACAAATAAATGTATACATATATATATTTGTGTATATGTATTCACCCGTGCATATGGACTGTCAATGTAGACTTGTCTCTAGACAAGGATACCTGTTTATGCACAAACTGTGCACACGTCACTTTGAGAAATCAACTATAAAAGACTGCGTTGTTTAATTGACATTTAAGTGAAATTTCTGTGTGAACGTGAGGATATCTGTCAATGGATAGTGAATCAACAAAGAAAGTGAGTTCATCTATCAGTTTTTTCTATACTAAATCTACTATAATGTAAAAAAGGAATTGTATTTCTTATCATACATATTATTCTAACATCCCAGATACAGATAGTATTAGGGCGTGGTCCAAGAGACTTATAAATTCTTCAGTTCACCACCCAGTATCCTACTATTTGGCCTTCATCCTGAGTAGTTTGTCAACCTGTAGAATGAGAAAACACTGTTTTCTGCAGATCCGTTTACCACAGCTGTACTACCACATTTATATTCCATTCGCTTCATGAATATTTTCAGTGGTTTTATACTTAAAAGTGCATGGCTGCACAGGATCAGGTGAAGTGGTGAACACCTGAAGTTGGTGAAATGCCGTATCTTGTCCTTTAGGTTATTCTGAAGTAATTGTTGTGTGCAAAACAATAGTCTCGGTGGTGATGTGACGAATGTTGTGACCAGTGAATTAATTTGACGGGCGTCATTGAGGAATGTTGATAATTAAGTGAAATTGGAACATGGAATTCAAACATTAGGGATCTCTTGGATGCAAAACACTGACTACACTTCGTTGGTTTCGGTTTCATACTACTACCATTTCTGTGATGATTATTATCCTTCCTGTTATTGTTATTATTGTCTTTGCAACGAGGAGAATGCCTGTCTTCAATCAAGACATTTCTTACAAGATTTACCTCATCTCCCATGATATGAGTTCTCAGAGTAGTTTACCGACTGCATATGACGTGTGACATAATGAAGCTTCTCTTGATATCGATAGGTAGTTGGATCAAGAAGGATTGTCCGTTAACCATTTCACGACAACTGTCTCTGATTCGGTCTACTATGAGTCCAAAGACCTCCTCCTCCTCGAGGAGGAAAGGGAATTTTAGCCTTGCTCTCAATCGCAAGCTTGATGTTCACCACCTGATCTCCGCTATGAAATATACTTCACATGTATGCCTCAACTCACAATTATCCACAGATATGATAATAACATCGTCTAACTTTCACACTAATTCCTGCAATAATGACTGCATTTGCGTATCCCGTTTCCATACGGCAGAATCCTTAACTCATGTCTTAAAAGTAGAAAGACTGTGTGAAGTCTAAGAATCGCAAGATACAAGGAGCGGTATTGGGAAACTCATGGTGATAATGTGAATGCACAGTTACTGTGCAGTTAGTGAAGCCAAGGCTAACATTGAACAGAACCTGGTCAACTATAAGCACTGGTAGTCGAGATTAGCGCCGTTCACGGGATGAATTATCCATGAAAAGGTGAAATGAGGCAACTGATATGAAAGTCTAACAACTTTGTCACATCAGTGTACAGCTTCTCTGTTTCATTTGCAACGAAATAAATTTGAGCCGAACGGAGATGGGCATCTGTACTTTTGTGGACTGTCGAATTTGTGATATTAGCCTAAACTTTTCATTTAGGGGAAACAGGAATTTGTTGTAAAATTGACCTCACCGTGTGATATCTGTTCCCATTCGAAACGACGTTAGATCAGATTTCCCCTGTCGTGGTTTCCCCCATCACGTGAGAGGTATGCTTTCCGTACCTGTGTTCGTGTACATGTTGGCCATGTGAAATATCACTCAGCCTTTCTGTTTGTCGTATTTCATTTGCTGGCTTTATGTGAATTCGACTGATCTCAAGTGGATTTCATTACGACACAATATGAGATAGTGGACGACTAGGAGTCAAGAAGGACTGCATTGAAACTGTATAACTGTTGCGTCACAGTCTGGAATGTCTTCGGTGGTGAACACCTGTAATCCAGCAAGTGACTGATCGGAAGACCATTAGGCTGAATGTCAGCGTGCTGTGCAGACTAAGATGTTGTGGATTTCGCATTTCATTTAGTGTATACAAATCAGGGCAAACTATTTCCACTTTCATATACTTACAAAATTCCGTATTTATGTCAGCAAAATATAGTGGTGCATTTCCACATTTCAGGACTCCGATGTCAAATGGGAAGCCACAGTCACAAATTCAATGGACAAATTATCTGATGAATTGGGTGATACTCTGACGAACGCAGTGAGACAGGTTGATGGGGAATTAGACTGCACGATGTCCGATTTTCCACGTCAAGATATTTGTCATGAATTCATGTTGGTGCTTGACAAGGCATTCATGCCTGAATTTGATGTGCAGAAACAGAAACACATTCGGACTTCACAGATGAGGTTTGCTGCAATGGCTGCTGCTTATATGCACAAGTCTGTTGGTCAGTGTGTATCGCAGCCACTGCGTGTATGGCTAGCCAATGCTGCCAGTGCAGTGATTCTCCACGGACTACTTGGAGAGTTGGTGGCATCGGTAGAAGAAGATTCCGGTGGAAAGACGCGTTCTCATGGAGAATCAAGAAGTGAAAATATATCATTACCAGACCCATGTTTAGATAATTGTCAGGATGGAAACTGGTGTTATGGCAGTTGGACAGAGGAAAATTTGGCAAATGCTTCGGAGATGAGAGATGTACTGAATGGTGAGATGGTGAATGCATGCATGCAAGTAATGGTTGCCGCTGTTGTCAATTACTTTCAGGAGAGGCGCTACACACCGAGTGGATTGATGAAGGACAGCTATGCGTGTGAAGTACTTCGATGTGGCAAAATGGAGCAATATGGTCTGACAGATGACTCTGATAAGACAAAGGCAATGCTGATCACTGGTCAGTGGGTGTCGAAATTGGTTGTTTTCCGTATGGCCACGGAACACCGACAACTCAAGCATCCTCTCAGACCGGTCAAGCGGATTGGAGTCAAGAGTACTCTGAAGAAAATGGATATCGGTAAATATTTCTATGATGTGCCTACTGGTTTCGAATGGACACGCCTCGCCTACACTATCTCTAGGAGGATCGTTCATTCTGTCTGCATCCCTGCATTTGAAAACATTTCTGATCTGACTGAACTACAGAAGCTTTACAACAGCATAGCTGATGATCCATTCCACTACCACACAGATGCTGAATACTTGACTAATTCACCGAGGACGACAATGGTTGACAAAGCGAACAATCTGTTTGGTCAACTCATCACATATCTACGCATCTTTGAGCCGACAAGCGAACTGCTGTCTTATCCACAATTGTGTGTTGACGGGAAAACCCGTGAGAAGTGCTACTTAGATTACAGTTCTCGTTGGGAGGATATTCTACGTGTGATTCATAGTGAGATATATATGCCGAGTGGACGTACTTTGTCAGTTGCGATCAAGGAAGCTATGAAGCCTTCAGAACGGTTTGCACCAGACGAAAAGATGTTGGTAGCCTGTTGGGATGGCTATAACATTGGAAATAATGTTCGAAATTCGATCCTTAGATATTATTGTTCTACTTGTGACAGCAGACTTCACTATACTCTGAATTCGCCGTGTCGGGATACTTCTCCGTATGTCTTCCGATGATAATTGTAACATTCCAAGTAAATGTGTATCTTTTCGTGTCTTGATTGTTTTCCCTACTGGACCTGAGTTGATTCAGTGTGGTTGTGAGTAAGAGAGTGTATGAGAGAATTTCTGTTGTCGTTTCGTAGTAATGTCAGCAGTATATGTGGATTTCATCGGTAGAATACAATTCTAGTGGGGATGAGACATGACGAAGTGAATATTCGAACGTTAAAATATGCCTACTAAATACCCTAACTGCATATGGTCACCATGCGTCTAATTGACTCTTAAAGCGACGCTCGATTATGCAGTCGAAATAACTAAGCTGTTCGCAACACTCCTGATTTCTTCAAAACTCAACAATTCATCACAGAGCTGAACAGTCACCTGCAAATTCATGTGTCCATGAATGAGATGCAGGCGACGTTGATTTACAATTTAACTGTTATTTATGTTAATAACACCGTTAGTGTACGTATAAAACGTGGTCACACTGCTAGAATGTGACTCCATATTAGATAAGTTAATTGCAATGTAGCGATGAGAAGGAGTATTGACAACAGGATGACGTTAGGAGTAAAAATTGTCCAATTGCAGAGCTAATACAACCAAGTGTAGATTGTTGGATTTGATAAGTGTGTAAGATTATAAAAGCAGCGTGTGTTAACATAACGAAACCGCTGATAAAATTCGTGTTGATTTTGTCCTTTCATAGAGAAGACGGGTGTTGTAACTAGCTAAAATTTCTTCTTAGTTCATCATTCTTATTCTGACAATTTAGATTCGTTTTAATATGAAGTCCTTCTGATATCAGACGTTCTTTATGATTTCTGAAAGATTTCTGGATTACTTCAACACTGTCAAAATCTATTTTGTGGCCTGATTCTATAGTGTGTAGACATATGGTTGATGATTTTCCAAACCCCTCTAGTTCAGCTGGATTTCTCGGTGGTCGGACAGAGTCGGCTCCACGGTACTCATTTCATCTGATCTTGATCACTCTCTGGTGATGTTTGTGCGTTGTATATGGCATCATATTCGGAGCAAGAACTTTATTTTGTAGACACAGTTGGACTGACAATCCTTGTGGATTCGGTCTGTTACATGGACGAGGTTGCTATGCAGTGTGTCTGATGTTTTGAAGCAGACTCTGATGTTGTACTTATTGACTATTCTTCTGATATCGTCTGACGTTTCTGATCTATGTGGAATGACAGTTGTTGGGACCCCTGCATTTGGAATACGTTTTTGACAATATTTAATGTCAGTGTTAATGACGTCCTTTGGGTAGTCATTTTTCTTGGGAGTCTACGTAATGTCTGATATTTCTTCTTCTTTCTCCTTCCCATGCGTAATCAAAGAGTGTGCTCGACTATGAAGACATGAAACAACTGATGCCTTTGCGCTGATGAGGTGTGATGAATCGAAGTCTTAATATCTGTTGGAGTGGGTTGTCTTCCTGAAAATGAATATGTAAAAATATCCGTTTCACCCCCTCTTAACTAGTCAGTCTAGAAATGATGGTTCACAGACGTCTGATTTTGATTCTGAAGTATACTGGATTCTGGGAGATAGGTCGTTCAGTTTCTCCAAGAATGAATTGTGTAGATCTCGTCTTAGCACAACAAAATGGTCATCAACGTATCTTGACCATATCTCAGGTGTGAGTATGCTTGAAATAATGTTGTCTTCAAATCTGTTCATTAAGGCATCAGTGACTATTGGGGAATCTGGTGGACCAATAGCTACATCATTTTTCTGTCTATATAAATTCCTTTAAATGTGAAGTAATTACTTTCCAGAAATAATTTCAAGCTCTTAATTATTTCACTCGTATCCAGTCGACATCTTTGTGATTGTGTAGTGTATGATTCTAGTAAACTGGAAATGATATCAGGACTTTCAGTAACGGGGATACTAGTATATGATAAGCTGATATCATAGCTTGAGACAATATCGTTTTGATCAGTATTTCGGTGTTCTATTTTCGATTTGAAATCACAGGAATGTTTTATGATGCTTTGTGTGTCCCTTTGGCGGTGATTTCAGTGTCGAAAATAAGTATTTGTGAGGGTTTCATATAGGTGAGTGGGTTAAATTTAATACTGGTTTCAATGGGACTGTGGGTTTATGTATCTTTGGTTGACCGTAGTATCTTGAAGGCATATAAGATTTTGGTTTTAGTTTAAGCCAGAGAGAATTCCCAATTTCGGGTTTCGAGTTTCCGAGGTCTCTGTCTGTATGCAGTTTCATTTTGTCGAAGTCGACAGATTTCCTCTTTTCTCCCATAAGTATATTCCATCGTCAATGTGTTGAATCGCCGTCTTTTCATAATCAGATCTGTTCATTATCACAGTGATGTTTCCCTTATTTATCTGTAGTCATCACAGTTTTCGTTGTATCCAACAGTCAGCGAAGAGCTTTTCCTAAATTCTCTCAAAGTGAATTGTACCTGCCATATTAGTGCGGCAGGACGTGAGTTTAAAGGCTGACAATCCAGCTGGATTATCTTCTTCGTCTAAACATCCATTTCATAATGAAATACGATTAGAAACGTCTTCATATTCAAAATTATTCTCTTTTACAGAATGCAGACTCTTATGAATGGTATTGATCACTAGCTGATCTCTTCTGATACTCCGTGAACATATTTCATGGCTTAGTGAGTTCGCTCATTTAATTTGAGGCGGCCTGTTTGAATCATTCAACCACTTCATTTTCCATCTGTTATATCTCAAATTATTGTCAGTGACGCCTACATATTTTGCCTTAACGATTCTGACTTCAATCATGCCGACTTATTGTTTGCTTGTATGGATGTAGGATTGAGAGGAAGAGACGATTTGATTCTGAAAAGATCCACCTACACAGAATCTTTACGGAATAGCTAACGAACTAATTCCTGTTGTTGGATAGCTATGAGTCGTCAAAGAGCTCGTATCATTTCACTTGTTCATCGTCTCCAAAGTGCCTGTAGTACTGACTGCTGAAATGATCATTTCTCGATTTTCATGAGGATCCGGAGAGAAGGAGAGGTAGAGAGAGTGGGTAAACGGTGTGGTTAATGAGAAATGACATCAAACCAAATTCGAAAAGGGGAAATGAGGTACAGTGTTAAAGGAAATACTACGGATGAGTCCAGACTTCAAGGGAAACTCAGCTGCATATATCCTGAAAGGAGATTCTGTAGTTCTCGAAAGAATTCATTCCATGCACCACACTCCTAGGGTGATGTCCACTGGCCGTAATTAGAAGGATACACTGCTGCATATGGTTCCTCCAGAGTGCATATATCAGTTCACCTGATCCTCTGGAGTGAGAAATATACATCGTTCTATCCGAGACCTTCCAAAACGTGTTGCTGAACACAACCAGCATGGCTGCAAAGATTTGGGATTGGTTCAGTCAGAAGTACTGTAATCAAGCTTGACCCATGTGACCTCTCTGGATATGTTACTGATCTTTGAAAGTTCTCCTCTTTGCTCTGGATCGTTTTTATTTGAGTGTTACTTAATTGAACACTGTCATTCACAGACGCATAAGGTAGAAGCGTTTGCTATTTCCAAGACATTATACACTATTGATTCGCATTTGTGTTTTAGAAGAATTTCTGTCAAGCGAAATTGCTTTCTTCTTTTTTCCTTTACGTTCCCCAGTGGAACATATGGCTTCGTGCTACTGGCTTAAATTTTCTGTAGCAGTGTTTATTTTATAGGATGGTAACGCTAGCCTCATGCCCAAGCTTTCCTCTCTACCAGCATTATTTCTGGCTTAGCAAGGTAGAGGAGTGCATCGGCCGGGGATCGAACCCCTGACCATGTGCATGGTCGGCGAGTGCTCGCTAGTCAATCGTTGTTGAATGATCTCAACACCCAATAGATGATGCACTCGTTTAGGGCAGAACACACCACTGGCCTGGCCTGTTTGACGCATCTTTGATAGCTCAATCTGTCCAAACCTTGGGAATTCTGTCTGTCTACTTGAGTGAACTGATAATGCACGGATCCAAGTTGATCATTTACAAATGACATACCCCTATATACGACACTCCTTTTTGTTTGTTATCTTACAAATTTTTGTAGTCATGGAAAGCTCCTACGTTCTTCAGTGTAGATATTTTCCAAGTTGAAAAGCATTCATATCAGCAGGATATCAGCTGACCACCGTTGGTTCAAAGTAGATGTGCATCCTGAATACTCATTTATTTAGGTGGATGTTAAAGACAAAGTTAAAGTTTCTAAAGTGAAAATAGGAATACATGGTGTACATTGAACTCTCTTTTTCTAAGATTTTATTTACTAAAGCTGCAAAGTTGCAATTATGTGCAATTCTTCTTTGAATCAGCTGGCTAATTTTGTACGTGTGTTCAAGTTATTCGAACTGTTTGCTGATTGCCTATATATTTAATCGGAATTCGCAGTCTGTGTGGTCATGTCCGCCCCTACTAGAGACAATGTGATAATACCTTGAGATAAAAATGATTTTACTTGATTGTTGTTGGCCAACAGCGGGAAGCTAACCTCTTATGTCGTCCTGTTGGGAACTTGTTAGTTTGACGCAGCCGCATTCGTGTGTCGATGGTGTTTCCAGTGATTCACAAATACCGCACTCATCCTTTCAGATGAAGAATACGTTCAGAGTAATTCATATTAGCTATAGTGAATGGAAATATGACGGAGGTGGAGTAGGCAGGAGTAATAATGAGATGGGATTGCACATGAAAACAAAATGTTCACTGGATTATATTCTTATCAAAATGAGCATGGAAACAAAGGTGATAGTGTGACGACAGAAGACAAGGGCCAGGCAATAGATCGTCTATTGAGAAAATCAACAGATATTTATGGATTTTTATGTACATTATTATTCGTTATTGTTAGCAGAGAAGCAACGTCCTTTGATTGGCTGTTTTCCTGCTGAAGGATATTCAGCCATCTCTTTGTTGCGGTTTCTCAGACAGTCCGGTGATATATCTGCGAATCGTATTTGCAAAGGCTAACGGTGCTGTGATCGGTTGT